AAAATAAAGCTCTGCTGATCGTTCAACACAGTTTTAATAATAAACAGTCTTAAAAGCTGGAGTTAATGTAGCCTATAACTGCTAATTCACCGACCTTTAACCCTGAAGATTGTGAAATGGCAAAGAGAGAGATTTAAGACGAACAGTGATAATATAGAGATGAATGGACTTATTTGCATTTATAATCACTCCAGCTGGCTGCCTGATACTCTTAATCTGCAATGAGTAACTGTCAAACACTAAAAAATTGTGAAGCTGAAGAAAAATCGAATTTTCCTGTTCCACCTTAAATGGTGCAGAAGTTACATTCTGGCGCCTCAAGCTGCATTTAAGGTGGAACTGGAAAATTCAAAGAAGCTAGCGAATGAGAAGCTGACTTCAGCCTTGTAAAAAAGTCAAACCTTGAGAGACATTTTACAGGAAACTATTCTACTTTTGCTAAAAGGTTTCCTGCCGGAGATGCGAGAAAAGTGGCTATAGTTGAGCTAAAGCTTAAAGGAGAGCAAAGTAAGTCTGCATTTTGGTATATTTTAAATTTTTAGCCTATATTAACACATTAGCACATACTGAGACATGTTTACAGCCAAGATGGTAAAATGGACATAAACTGTTGTGGCTCCCAACGTGGTTGGATTTTTGTTGAAAGGACAAAACGGCTCTTCTTAACATTTGGGTTGCCAACCCCTGGTCTAAACAAATGAGCATTAACCCAACACACAAATTCTGCATGAGTGACAGGAATACAGGGAGAAAATACAGCAGAACCACAATACAAACCTCCCCGTGTGGAAGCACCTGCTTCAGGCTTTCTGAACAGCTGTGTGTGTTTACTCCCTGCATTCAAAGCCTGACCTCAGCTCCCTCACTCTGCTCGGCAGTCGGACGCTTGCTTACTGCGCCACTGCACTGGCACCAGTCCTCTGCTTCTGGAGCAGCAGCATTGTTCAAATATGAGCTGAACTGCATTCACAGGCAGCACAAATGCAGGTGACGTAGCTCTGAGTTGACAAAATAAACACACTTCCTAACATTCACTGAAGTACAATCAACCAGTCAACTCTGCCTCTCCAAGTCAAACATTTTTGCCAATAGCTCTTGTAGTAATGGATGCATCTGCACTCGAGTCAAACGAGGCGTGGGTTTTTAGCGCTGCGAGCCAGGTACTTTCAAACAGAATCACAAAACAATTCTGGGTTAAACACAGATTCCACTCTGTCCAGTGTCAGGGTCACTGCTGTGCTGAGATGGTCCACCACCTAAATAATATCTGGTCAACAGCGGTCCTGTAGTCAGAAACTGACTAGCGGTGAATGGGCTAGAGGGTGTCTGACAAAGTGTACATGGCAATGGTCTATAATTCTAACCTTCATAGTGGACATACAAGCTACAGGACAGTGCAAAAGTCAGTGACCACCCTTCATTTAACTTCTGTTAAGTAAAAGTTTTTCAGGAGATATTTCTGACTACTTGTTTGAGGAAGAGGAAATGCAAAAGAACTGGGGTTCCCAAAACTAGAGGTCCAAAAAATGATCAAACACAGATGCTGCTGATGTTCTCAGGCGGCCACCCCAGAGTCCAGACCTCAACATCTATGAATGTGTTTGGGATCACTTGGATTGTAAGAAGCAGAAAATGCAACTTCTAAGACTGAACTTTGGAACATCCCTGCAGATTTCTTTGAAAAACTGCAACCAAGTCTCCTGAAAATACGGAAGCTGTAATAAAAGGCAAAAGGTGGACAAATTAATTACTTTTTATTACAATTACATTTAGTATATTGTATTATCATATTTTATTATTTTTGTCATTGGGGTTTCTCTTTAACTGTAATTCTATATTAAATATATGTTTTCTCGAGTTCGATCCCTGGTGATGCTACAGCCATCCGTGGCCAGGAGTCCAAGAGAGCACAACTGGCCTCGCTCTCTGGGTGGGTAGGATGGCCCCTCCTCTGCCCCATCACTCAAACGCGATGCTAGTCAGCGCAGGCGTCTGTTAGCTGATGTAACAGAACTGGCGGTTGGCGCTTTCCTTAGAGCGCGTTCCGCTGTTCAATGATGTTGCACAAGCGGCAGTTCGAAATGATGCAGTGGCGCTTCACAGGTCTCGGAGGAAGCCTGTGCTAGCCTCGTCCTCCTGGCGCTGGCGGTATCATGTGATTGCGGTCCTAACTAGTGGGTGGAATTGGATATGATTAAATTGAGATAAAAATTGGGGAAAAATCCCCAAAAAAATTTTTTCTAGTTTTTTTGTGACACTGAAACTTGTACTTAATGGCAGCTTTGATTGAAAATTAAATAAAATAAAGGTGGTTTCTGCCCTGGACACACTTAGAAATGATGGTTCTTCAAGGGCTCTTTAGTAAGTGTTTCTATATTGAACCATGAACACTAAAAGAACTCTTTGCATGATTAAAGGGTTCTTTGCATCATGAAAGTGCTCTTCAGATTGATGGAGAATGCGCTGTAGATCGTTCTATATAGAACCCTTTCGAAAAGGGTTCCATATAGCACCAAATAGGTTTCTTCTATTGTGTCAAGCTTGACATCGTAACACCAGAAGAACCCATTTCAGAAGGTTCTATATAGAGCCATCTACAACACATTCGCCATCAATCTGAAGAAACCATTCATGATGCAAAGAACCTTGTAATCATGCAAAGGGTTCTTTGAGTGTTCATGGTTCTATTTAGAACCATTTTCTTCACTAAAGAACCCTTGAAGAACCATTTTGTAAGAGTGTAGGAGTTTCCAATAATCTGGCCAATGAGTGGAAGTAATGCGTATAGCAATAAGCAGACGATAAGGGTATATTCCGAACAATCCTTCTGACAGATTAGACGATCAGCGCATTCCGGTGGAAAACTGGACCGACTGGTCCGTGTCACATAAAAACCTGCACTGGGAGAAATCTCAAGTGCGAAAACTCTTCTTCCAACGCTCTGGAGTACAGTTCAGCAGGGAGAGGCCGATATTTCACAGGCCATCTCCCACAAATTAGACTGCAGCTGGACCATTCATCCTCAGAGTAATCCAATTCCCTCCTCTCGCGCACAGCTCAATTCATCGGAGAAAGATGACTCAAAGGTTTTAGCACTGCAATAAGTGCCTCTAAACATCCCTAACAGCCATAATAAAGACGTTAAATGTTTTGGGCCTAACGTAATGAATGGTACAGACATCTCACAGAAAAAATAATCCACATAGTCATGATAAGGAGCAATTTGCCTCCTTATCAAAGCAACTTTTTAGCACTCGCAGTGAATGTGAATAAAAGACTGTCAGCCTTTTCTTTGAAGATTTTGTTCTTCAGGAAGTGTATTTCATTAAGGGCTGCGCCATCCAGTCTAAAGCACGTCTGTCTAAAGCTGTGAATAACAGGCCTCTGCCTGTTACAGAAGCATCTCACTCAGTTTAATTTGAAATATCTCTTCCAGTAAATTCAATGTGTATATCACCAGAATGAACGCTATGCATTGAATATTCATCAATAAATAAGGTTTAAAGGATCCGGTTACAGAAGAACGAAAGAACATCTGAACATCTGAGCTCATCCTGACAGGATACTGTGTTCAATATGTGCCATTAGTAGAACACACAGTAGCTCAGAGTGAACAAGTACACCAATGTTTGTGTGTACTGAAAGACCCAGCTGACGGATCCACACTGTAATTCCTCACTCTGGTAACTGTAGAACTTACATGCGAGTTCCATAGCTACTGAAAAATTCATAGTATTTACTGGAAAATAACCTTTAAGATTAATAACTGAAGAAGCCTACACTGTTAGCAATAAAGGTTCTGTGCAGGGACATTTTTTGTTCATCAAGGTACAAACAATGTAAATGTTCCCTCAAAGGTACAACAGTGGTTTTTAGATTCAACTGTGTACCTCAAATATGTACATATTCGTACTTTTTCATAACCTAATGTTTTAAAACTGAACAATAAAATAAAAAGCCTGGAGACGAGATGGGGTGTGTGGAGTCAATACAACTTAGAAAATATAATTTTAATGGAAAAATTAGGTGAAACTGCAAGAGTTTCTATGTGTAGCTTCAGATTCTCACTCTAGTGTCCACATATTAACCCCTTTTGGAGCTGGAGTTTTACTTTAGTCTAGTACGAATCTGCAATGTTCATAGCTTTTACAGTCTGACGATAATAACTGTGGAGTGAATGACCTTCTTTAATTCGCTGAATACTGAATTCTGTTCAGACCTTACAGTAACAGAATAACAAAACCCCCTAATAGACATGTGTGAAGCTTATTATTGTTATTGTATGTGTCATGTGGCATAATGCTGGCATCTAAATCCAGACTGCAACCTTTGAATCCAAGCTGGAGAAATTACAAATACAGAAATACAGATGTTTTTTGCATGAGCCAGTCCAATGCTGACAATTTACACAACCTTTAATGGAAAACTTTATCCAGTTTCAATAGTGTGTTAGTTTCATAGTAGTTACTGAATAACAAGCCTTAAGACTAATAACTGAACAATAAACCTGTATGTGGGATATTCAGTTTCTCACTCTGGTGGAGCTGGAACAGTTTTACCTGAGAGGATATTGCTAATTAAGTGATTTTAGTCCACAAATCTACAACATTTGTAATTTTTACAGTCTAACAGTAATAATTGTGGCATTAACAGCCTTCTATAATTAGCTGAACACAGAATGCAGTAATGGAATAACAAAATTTGCTAATAGACACAGCTGTAATGTGTGTTGTTATTGTTATTGAGGGTGACATGTAGTATTATTGATCCAGGATATGACTTTTTAATTCAGGCTGTGGGATTCTGGTAATACTATACAGTTATTTTATGCTGTACTAATCAGCCGGTCAAATCTTGAAAAATTACACTACACAACCTTTAATGGGAAAACTAATCCAGCTGCAGTAGTGCTTTACTTTCATAGTGGCTACTGAAGAATAAGACTTAAGATCAATAACAAAACAATACGCCTGCAATTTAATGGGTTTAAGCAGTCCTACCTATCATTGTCGGCGCTCTTGAAGGCCGGTAGGATGTTCCGGAAGCTGCTGTTGCGGTCGAGCTTCGGCTGGCTCTTGGTGCGTTTGATAGAGCCCTTCAGCCTCCGGCTCAGGAAGCCCTGGACAGGAAAGCGTCCGCAGTGAGAGAGAGAGCAAAGAGAGAGGTGAAAAAAACACTCAGCTCACAGGTTCTTAAAGCAAACAAAACACACACACTCAATCCAGCAGCTCTGCAAAGAAACGCTCTTTCTTTCCTCTCTCTCTCTCTCTCTCTCTCTCACTCTCTCTTTATCTCAGTGTCTCTCTCTCCTCTCATCCATGGCGTCTGGTGGAGCGGCGTGTTGCTGTGCGGACTGAGCTACAAGCGTACACACACACACACACACACACACACACACACACACACATCTGTTGGCAGAACTCGCTGGGCTACAGCGGCTATGCTGATGTGAGACGCCCCTCAAAGTCCCTGTTACCATGGAAACTGTTGGTTGGCATGGAAGGGGAGAGAGAAAGAGTGAGGGGGGGAAAGGAAAAGAAACACACTGGTGCACTGCAAGTTCACGGACAGAGCTGAGCTTGAGATTTTTTTCAAACACAGCACAGATTAGCGAGAGATTAGCAGGAGTTGGATTATTTCTCCGAAAAGACTGCTGGCCTGTCTGACGGGAGACGGCTTTGAAAAGGAAAAGGATAAAACAGTGAACGTGGGGCAACGTATTTCACTAAAGACGGAGGAACGGAGACGCCAGCCGGGATAATTACGTGTTTGTGTTTAGAAGCACAGTGAATGAATGGACGATTGGCCTTAACTAACCCCCTAAATATCTGTTGTTATACAAGCATGGCGCTGTGGGCAAATAGGGGTAACAGATGAAATAAAGACATGCAAAAACATATAGAAGGCCTAAGACTGCACAACACAACTTACTTGCTAATTCGAAGTATGTTTTAAAATAAATAGTAATTGGCAGAAAATCTGATTTACACAATTTTCCTGTTAGTCCAAATTAACCAGCCTGCGATTTAAGCTCAGTTTTGCACTGGAGCTATGAGACTAATGTAGCTAACAAGTAATAAAAGTGTATATCCCATTGATTAGCATCACACAAACTGCTGCCTAAATCATCAGTCACCTGCCTTAAACCCTGCTGGATTGATAAGTAATAAAGCAACCCCTTTCCTTGTGGTAAAATCACTGTCTCAAGAGGCTTATTGCTTTTTAGAAAACAGTGACAACATAAAATATGATAAATATACACATTTTCAATAAATAACTGAAGTTATAATTCATAATAATCCCAATAAACACATCTTCTATCAAGAAATGTAGTAGTGCTACACAGAAATGCTACTGCTGCAAAGCAATACTGCTGAAGGAGGACAAGAACTTTGACCCTTCACAGCTATTTCATAACCTTTTTCATTATTTGTCATATAATAATGAAAATGTCATAATACGGCAGTGATTAATACAGAAAATTTCTCCTCATAAGTACTTTCTGCTCAACAAATTGCCACCACAATGATAACATAAATTTCCATTAGCGCCCCAATGCGATTTCCTGTGTTCTGTTAGCATCAAGCTAATGGTGCTAGGCATTTGTTTTCCCACAACTTAGGGCAGATCTACCAAAAACACAGACACTAAGACATTTAAGCATATTCTCTCCTTTTTATATAGCAGTTATATAATAAATCATGATTATAAGCTAAAAATTATTATTAAAATAAGTCTAAAATAAGCCTAACACTGAATATTGAGGGAGAAGCAGTTTAGCCAGTTAGCTATCTTTTAGCCTGTTTAGCCTGCTATATTTCAGTTTTGTTGTTAAGAAAATAAGCTGTTAGTCCCTCAGTTGAAACAAAATCAGGTTGTTACTTTATCTATCTATTATCAGTTCACTCAGGGCAACATTACAGTCCTTTTACAGCACAATTTTTAGCGACTTGGTGCACTAATGTTTTGGCTGACTGACTCCATCTTGGGTTTGTTAAAAACTGAGCAACTTTCATTGCTTAGCTATTGCTTTAACCTTTTAAAACAGCAGTCATGTCATCAACAGCAGTATAATTTTCACTGTCATAACCATAAAGCTATAATAGCGCTGCTGCTCAGACATGCAGGCTTACTGTCTCCAAGAAACAGCAACTACACACACACTACCATTACACATCACAGTCTTCAGAAAGTCCTGAACTCTCTTATTGACAGTTGATGTTTCCCTGCATGCCCTCTCCATGCTTTACAACTCCAGCAGTTCAAAAACATGAACTCTTGACACCCTGAAGTTTTGTGATGATGTCAAGCATTTCACTTCTCCTGCTCTCTTCAAACGCTGCTGTTTTCAGGACGCAAGGTCTTTGTTCTGTCAGACGACGGTGACGTGGTCCCCAGCAGAGATCTCGCCATGGCTATAATCAAGCCGTCCTCAAAGCGCCACTTCTCTCGTTTGGTGCCGCCTAAATTTTTCAGCGTTCTATTTTTAGATCTTCCTCACATGACATTTGCCGCGTAACATCCAAGCGGAATTATTCATCACGCCCGCTGGAGCGGAGGAGCGGAGGGCCAAGGCATTTGATGATGCGCTGCTTTTGGGGAAGATATCCTGCAGCAGTGAGACAGCTACAGGAGGAACCAGTGCAGCCCTGGATCAATGGAGTTCAAACATCAAATAGGCCTTTCTTGACCTGAACCGTAGGTCAATGTGTGTTGATTTGAGACATATTTAAGGAACTAAAGGATGAACTTGGGGCTTGGCTTGGAAAGCCATGTTATTTAGCCAGAAAGTGCCACAGAGCAATAATATTAGGCCAAAAAGTGTTAGAGACTATTAAAAGGCAATACTTCCCTGGCTTATGAAGACATATAATTTGGCTAGCAAGTGTCATTAAGTAAAACTGGTCTGGCTTAGAAAGCCATATTATTTGGCCAGCAAGTATTACAGAGCAATATTACTTGGCCAGCAAGTCGCAGACAAATATATGGCAAAACTGACCTTGCCTACAAAGTCATATTATCTGGTCTATGTGTAATAGGCCTAGATGAATATAAGACAATACTTGCCTGGCTAACAGACCAAATATGTGATTCCTTACAGAAACAGACTGAACAATCAATGGCGTCCTTGTTTCCTTGTCCTGTATATTAAGCCATATTATTTGGACAGCAAATGTTACAGAGCAATATTAATTAGCCAGCTAGTATCACTGACAAATATAATACAAACCGATCTGGTTTAGGAAGCCAGGCAACCAAAAACACTCGTGATTCCAGAGAAATGGCACAGAGAAAACTCTCCGGCCTCTTCTTTTCTCCACCCTGTACATAAAGCTATATTACATGGCCAGCGAGTGTCACAAGGTGGCCGGGTGGCAGACTTTTCCACACAGCCAGAGCTGTCATTCATACATGGCGTCATCAAATACATGCAGCGCTGGAGTAGTATCAAAAAAAAATCATTGAATAAACTACACAAGTGTATATGTTAAGCCTGTTTTATATGCATTAATTTTCAAGAAGTGCACTTGTGTGATTAGGAGTTCACAGTCTGTTCATCAGAAGAATGTGTAACTGAATGAACTGTACAGTTCATACTGGGCCAAAAAATAATTTGCATACATTTCTAAAAAATGCTTCATACCAGAGTTAACAGTTCTTTAAAACAAAACCATACACTGTTTGCACCGCCAAGGATGGCTGCATCTAAAACCCCATGCTACTATACTGCATATTATGTTGAATATGGAACATCAGCAAGTCCATTCTATAGTATATATGGCATAGGAGCATGGATTATGCTATTTTGGATGCAGTATGTAAGAAAGCCTAGCTAGATCTACTTTTCATGTCTGTAAACATTCAGTAGGGGGAGCTCTTGCCAGTTGCGCCAGGCGGGGCAGTTTCCCACCAAACTGGGTGGATTTTGGTGGGATTTGGCATGGGGGGAAAGAGCTTTTGCAGGTGGACAAAATTTGAGCTGGTTTGTCATGATTTTTATGAAGTATATAAAACTAATAAACTGCATTGCTGAACTTTGAATAAGCCCAACTTCTCCCTACATCAAGTTTTAAAAACGTGCATGAAAAAACATTGATGAGTTTTGCTACAAAAGCAATTTGTAAGTAGTGGGAGTAAGATACACATACAACTCAAGTCATCTAAATGTCTTTATAATTTTATTAAAATTATTTGTAGTTTCTTTGTCCAGGCATTTCTTAGATAATTCTTATGCTTTTGGTTCTCTGTACCAATAAACATGATCTCACTAGCATCATTGATGTCATGTTCATTTAAATGTATTATTTAGTATTATGGAGAAATGCTGCTTTTTTCATATTTGGAATTTTTGTGCAGTTTTTTTATGCATTTTGGCAGGTTTTTTTTCTCTCTTCACCGATTTTGCCCAGTTACATCCTCTAGCAAGATGTCCCCCAATAACATGACACCACCAGCACTAGGAGAGTGAAGTCTAGCACCTGCTTCCAGTCCTGTGAAGCCAGGCACTGCATCTTTTCAAACTGCTGCCAATGCAACAGCATTTTACGATCAACACACTTGGAGGAGTACGCTTATGGCCAATTCTATTGCGTTAGCTAACAGATGCCTGCGTTGGCTAGCATCACTCTGAGTGAAGAGAGGGGAGGGAGAAATCCTACTTATTCAGTGAGAGTGATGCCAATTATGCTCTCTAGGACTCCCAGCCATGGATGGCTATGGCATCACCAAGGATCAAGCTTGCGATCTCCTGATGATCACATCTTTTATTACGCTCTGTGCAGGGGTCCACAACTACATTTCAGTAAAACCACCCCAAACTAATATTTCAGTTTGCAGAAAAACGTTGTTTCTTTAAGTAGCAAGTAAGTCGGTGTTTGAGGCCTACTGTGACTACAAGCTAAAAGACCAGAGCTAGATGCTGCTCCTCCAGCACAAACCAGCTTGTCTCTGCCAAACACTTCTATATCATACTGCTATATCAACAACCAAATCTATGTTGGACATGGGATCTGAATTCAGTGCATCTTTTCATCTGAAAATAGACAGAACTTTTTACAATGGACAAAAACTAAGCATATACAACATAATAAAAACAAATGCTATGAATCATTAGCTCAC